ACCCTCAGAATGCCATTGTCAGCTCTTCTGCAAACGCCTGTCATGCAGAACTGCTCAAGGCCATTAGGGATACTATGTAAGTTGACCAGCAGCTTGAAGACAAAAAAAGATCACTTTGGTAGGGAGAGACTTTTTCTCTTGCTGTTAATGAGCAGAGATCCCCATTTTATCCAATGCTTCCTTTCATCCTTCAGATGTCTTAGCAGCTAGTCTCCAGAGTGTCCACGTCAAGAAAGCTTTCTCTGGGTGTTCATGCCCACATTCCATCCCTAAACCCATTCTCATCTCCCTCTAAGCGCTCGGATTAAAGTTCTCCCTCTCCTATTTAGGGGGAAATTAATGCCTGACCTGCTTCCATCTGGAGCTGACTTCTTTGGGTTTTCTCATCCAACCATCCACAACCTGATCCAGAGTTGTCCAGGAGCTCGAAAATGTGTCAAGTAAGTGTGGTCAAATCCATTCCCTTGAGAGACGTTCCATGATCAGTGGCCAGGGACCTAAACTGTGGTTCATTTGTACATTTACTGAGCCGCTGCTGTGCACAGCATGCTTGTTCCTTGACTGCCGTGCCTTAGTATTGTCTTAGCCTCTGGACAGGGAAGCAGAAGCCAGTACCCCATGTATGTCATTGTCATTTTTTGTGTGTACCATGACAGCAAAGGAAATCTGCAGAATAATGTGTCACTAAAGAAGCCTTTCTATCTTTTGAAAGTATCTTTTTTTAGTTCATATGTTATTAGAAACATAGTGGAGAGAGCTACAGAAAAAAGTACCTGGTCCCATTGGAGGACAGCATGGGCTGTGGCTAACAGACAGCTCTTGCTAGTGATCCCCTTTGATCCTGCAGTTACCAGTGGGTGAAATACGATGTGTGCAAACCTGGAGATGGGCAGCTGCCCCAAGGACCGCTGGAGAATGATGCAGCTGTAAGCTTTGAAGCCTTTCAGAGACAGATCTTTGATGAAGATCATAGTGATGATCCCATTCTGCAAGGTATCTTTTAATATTATCTTTCTGGTTTGAAGGTTTTCCGTATTTAGGCCCTCTTCATTCCTAGCTGAGTTCCCCAAATGTCTGGGCAGTAAGTGATTCAGGCTTTCACTGCTCCAGTCTTGGAGAGTCCTGAGCCAGGAGGACCCACTGAAGTCACAGGGCACGGCTGTGATCATAGTAAGGCAGGGCCCACTGAGAAACTAGGGTTTCTCATTTTCTACTGAGGTTAAGACCTGAGCAGAACTCCAGGGAACGGTTTACGATGCAGGACTAAGATTCCAAGTGGGATAAAGGGGATCAGGTCAAGGCCTTGGTCCTGCCTCTGTACCATGGATTCCCTACCATAAATGGAAGGAGCAATTGGAATTGGCACTGGGATCATAGGGAGAGCTTGAACTGAAAATAAGAAAACAATTAAATTCTCACTCTTTGCCTAATATACTACATAACCTTAGGCAAGTCACTTAAATCTATTTCAGCCACAGTAAAAGTAAATGTCCTATCTTACCCAACAAGGATGAAATTGGGCTGACAGATGTAAGGATGTTAAGGATTTAAAGGAATATATATGTATCTGATCAGCCTCCTGAGATTTCTAGGCAACACTGAAACTTAAGGAATTTTCCCCCCAGGATCCTTGGACCTTCCGGAGCTTCAGCCTACAGCCTTTGTGTCTTACCAACCCATGTTCCTGACAGATGAACCCTTGGTAGATGATCACCTACAGCACTTGAAGTCTCCATCGCAATGCAGCCCAACGCAGTCTTCAGATTGAACGAGAAGGGATCAGATAACCACATCATTTTCATCATGATGGTTTTAACTTCAACTAAAACTTAAAATATATGGAAAGAAGCAGCAATTTAAAAGTGAAGATTAAATTAACACATTTTGTCGTGGAGGTTCCCATGGTGACAGTTTTCCCTGAGAAAAACTTCACCTGCTTTATTTTTAGTAATAAATTTCTCTTGACAATTCTGCTTATTTTCATCTTGTCATCAGGATATGATCTGTTTTGCTTAGCTCTGCCTCAGGTAGAGTAAACTTAAGTCCTTTATTAACCAGAGAGAGAGATGGCTGCTGACGCATAAAGGAGTAAGACCCCGACAACCTTCTACCCTTGATTCTGATCCTAGTTCAAGGCATGTTAATTCCCAGCCCCTGCACTGGAAATGGCTGTTTTATTTTTGTGTCGGTGTCATCAAAATCAAGTCCTGCTCATCCCCAAGCTGGAGAGTCCAGCCCAAGGCACACTCCATCCCTTTCTTCACATGTACATACCCTTGGAGGGGACCAAAAGGTTATCTTTAACACTGTCTACATTCTCTTTGTGATTTCTTATTGGAGAATGTGCTTTTAACTAAGTACATTGAAACTGCATGGTAACACAGATATAGAAAGGATTAGGAATTGGCTCACAGGCTCCGTAACAGACTCACCCTGTCATTTCATTAACCCTGTAATAACTCTGCACTCGGTGCAACTGAATTGTCTGGACCCTGCTTATGGCATTAAGGTGGAGGCTCACCACCTCACCTCATCCTGACCACAACAGTCGGCTGGATGGGCAGCGAGGGCGTCCCAGTGAGGATCCATCTTAGTACCAGGGCTGGCTGGAATGGAGGAACAAAAGGACCCCAGGAGTAGAAGATTGGGGAAGGAGTGGTGAGAACTGGATTGTCACTGCGCTACAATTCATAACTGCTAACCGGGGACAACGCAAATGGGATTCAAATTTTATAGGAATGAATCTGGCCAGCAGAGGGAGGGGCCCAGCAGTGTTGAGAGCACAACACACGTCACTATAAAGTATCAGAAGCAAGTAACATTAATTTTACAACTCTTAGTTATAGCCTTTATATTTTGTATAGCTTTTACAGTCCAAGAATTAAGTATTATAATTGGGATTATGGAAAATCGAGGGTAGAGTTTTACTCAAAGCTGTTAATGTTTTAATACTTTTCTTTTGTAAGTTGCCTGAACATATCTGTACTTACACAGAAATGACATAGGCTGCTTTTATCATATAGAAATTATCTTTCCATTCCATTATAGCTTGAGTAAAACATATTAAAAGAAAGGCTCATTTTAAGAAAGACATTTTTTTTAATAAGTGTGCAGTTTATGCTTATTAAAGAGTGTTCACTTTGTAGTTTTCCAAGATCAGAAAGAACCCATTTGCTGTTCTTAAACTTAGGGAGTCAAGATGTGCATCGATTGAAACTTTGGTATCAACTATGATGTGTATACATGTATTTATAAAAATATCACACATGCATTCACATGTATGGGAATACATGGAATGTCAAATGTTTTTCCTATGGATCATTTTTAAAAACTTGAAAAATACTGCCTTATACTTAAAATATCTTTTCATCTACTGAATTAAGGATGTTTTGGATTTGACAACGTGCAATATCAATGAGAATGAGATAAAAAATGGGACTATACCTTGTTGGGAATGTAAACTGTTGATCCCTTGGGAAGATAAAGCTGTTGGTATCAAAATTTTAAATATATTTATCCTAAACCTGTTATTCCACATTAAGGGCCCTAGGGAAATTAAGTGTGGTGTGATGTTTGCAAGTAACAATTATCACAGTATTAGTGATACTGTGGAAAATTACAAAAAAATTGGTTGTCCACTAATGGGGAATTACTTAAAGAATGGGGCTCCCATCCCTGGCCATTGTGGTTCAGTTGGTTGAAAGTCATCCTATGCACCGAAAGGTCGCAGGTTCGATTCCCAGTCAGGGCACATACCCAGGTTGTGGGTTCAGTCCCCAGTTGGGGTGCATGCAGGAGGCAACCGATAGATGTTTCTCTCAAAAAAATCAACATTTTTTTAAAATGGGATTTCCACAAAATGTCACAATCTATATTCAATTTACATAGGAAAATTATTTTGTTAGAATAAGTAAAAAACATTAAAAATAATATCCAATTAGTGTGTAAAATATGACTCAAACAAATCAAGTGACTTTTCACCACAATATTAGTGTTTCTCTCCAAATGATGAATTTTGGGGTAATTTTTACTTATACTTTTTATTAGCGCCCAAATCATCTACAGTTGATTATAAATTTCATTTTTCAAACAGTAAAATGTTATTTCATTTGAGAAATAACCTGAGTTCCCATGGAATTTTTTAAATTTCCAACAAAAATAAATTTTATATGACTTCATTAACATATCCACTTCCTAATCCTCATTTTTCAAACTGTGTGCTGTAGGTGTTTGGGGATGAAAGGAACCTGAGCTTAACTATCTAGTTTATAAAGTAAAGTTACAGTAAGCTAAGGTTAATTTTTTTTTAATTTTATTTTAAAAAAATATATTTTACTGATTTTTTTACAGAGAGGAAGGGAGAGGGATAGACAGAAACATTGATGAGAGAGAAACATCGATCAGCTGCCTCCTGCACACCCCCTATTGGGGATGTGTCTGCAGCCAAGGTACATGCCCTTGACTAGAATTGAACCTGGGACCCTTCAGTCCACAGGCTGACGCTCTATCCACTGAGCCAAAACCATCAGGGCAAAGGTTAATTTATTATTGAAGAAGAATATTTTATGTTAATTTAGAGCAGCCTACGTGTGCAGTGTTCATAAAGTCTACAGTAGTGCACATAATGTCCTAGGGCAGGCCTTCACATTCACTCACCACTTACTTCACTGACACCTGGAGCAACTCCAGTCCTGCAAGCTCCTTTCAAGGTAAATGCCCTGGACAGATGTACCATTTTTTATCTTTTATACCATTTTGTCACTGTACCTCTCATATGTTTAAGTACACAAATACCACTGTGTTGAAACTGCCTACAGTAGTACAGTAACATGCTGTATGGGCTTGTAGCCCAGGAGCAGTAGGTTACACCATCTAGGTCGGTATAAGTACACTCATGTTCACATGACAAAGTGGCCTAATGAGGCATTTCTCACCCTGTATCCCTTCAAACAATGTGTGACTTACACTTTCATTTCTAACTTCTAATAGACAACATACAATTGTCAAGAGCCGTGAGCTGTTTTTAATCAACCAATAAATAGCATTGATTCTTAACAGTACACACAAGAGCCCTCTTTCACATTTGTCCCATGGGATTATTTTTCTAAATACTTATCAAGTAGCTTCACTTCCAGCCTCACTTTTTTCTTCCATCTGGATTATCGTTTTTATAGTTAAAACTCGTACCTTTAAAGAGCCAACATGTATTTTTTCTTTGTTACTCCTCACTGGAGGATATTTTTTCCATTGATTTTAGAGCGAGTGAAAGGGAGGTGGGAGGGAGAGAGAGGAGAGAAACATCCATGTGAGAACCACATTAATTGGCTGCCTCCCACACAAGCCCCAATCGGGGCGGGGAACCTGGAACCCAGGTATGTGCCCTTGACCAGGATCGAACCCATGACCCTTGGGTTCGTGGGCAGATGCTGGCCAGGGCCTGAGATTTATAATGATCTCTAATGACCTGCTTGCTCCTCAGTGACCTCCAATGTCACATCTTTCTAAGCTGGTGATCCCCAGGACCTGTTACTGGCAGCCTGAGCATCGTCTCTACCACACTTCATTCACCTTTCTCTTCATTCCTAAGGCTGGCCTCAGCACCTCCCCAAATGCCTACACATGGTTCTGCTTTGTTAGCTTTCACCATCCACATTATCATTATTGGTACTGAAAGAGCAGAACTGTATTTGGCTTAGAGGGAAACATCTAACACCTTGTCCTCTTACACCCAGAACTGAGGAAACGAGGGTTGGAAGAAACTTCAAGGCCATGTGGGCCAGCTAGATGTTTCACTCCCAGTTATGAGAAGTAAATGACATTGAGGTTCAATTTGCTTGTAGGTTGGCATGAGTCCAATACAGGCACAGCCCAACTAGAGGACAAAAGGCAGGCATTTCATTGTTCACCAGCCCTGGCTCCTCTCATAATACAGGCTGGCTGGGAACGCTCCAATGAAGTTTTTCTGTTAATTGCCTTTAAAAGCAACAGTTGTCATCATTTAAACTCCTAAATGCCCAAATCTAATTTTTAAAACATGCAATACCTGACTATTTAGTCATGGCACTGACCTCTTTTCCCTTAGATTGTCAAATTAAAAAAAAAAAAAATCACCCAACAGCCAACACAATAATAGCTATTGGTGTGAATGAATCAAAATTAAATCTACTTTTTTGTTGTCATTTACTTATGTCTAAGATCTGATCCTACTGCACTAAATCATCGCAGCCTTACTGTGATGTCCAGGCATCTGGTTTGCAATTAAAAGCAATGAAGGGAGGGGCTGGCAGGGAACTCTTGGGGTCGTATAGGGGACACCGTTTATATTCGCAAGGCCAAGTGGCCCAGGCATAGCGGAGAGCGGCCACGGCGCCAGGACAAGAACTGATATTCAGGGCCAGGGTCTGGGTGGAGGAAGTGTTCACGGGAGCTGGAAGCCACTTGCACTGATGGTCACCACAACACGAGATCTAATGAGAGAGTCATAAATAGGAAGAGTCAGGTCAGGTAGAAGGATGCTCCTCGAGGCTGGGAACTGCTCTTTGAGACAGACTGTAGGGAGAGAAAGCCACTTTGGGCCAAGGACCCACTTTCTACAGCGACCAGAGCAAATCTGAGTCAGTCTGGTCACTACAGCCACCGGTTGACAATAAATGTTCATGTGATGAAATAAATAACTCAACCAACAAAGCATAAACTACGGGGGGAGATGGGGAAGCACCATCACATCCAGCATTTGGGGAAGGCTCCCCGAACATCCTTGCGGTCACCCTCCTGACAAGTGGTAAAGCTGCTGCTCCCTGTGGCCCTGCCACGGAGCTGAGGAACGAGGGAAGGGCACAAAGGAACTTTGGATAACGAGGCCTTAACTCAGCAATCCCGGGAAGGGAAGATAAATGATCCAGTGCCCAAGCTTACATTCTGACTGCAACTGTGATTCTGGGTCCAGATGATGGACGGACTGCCAGATACTGATGAAAGTGGAGACAGAATGCAGAAGCCCCCTGGGAGCTAGAATTCCCCTAACACCCAGAGCCCAGAAGCTAAGTGGCATGAGCACTGACCAAGCACCGGGTTCCAGAGAAGCTGCCCTGGATAAACGCCTGTGTGACTAAAGTTGGTTTAAATACTCTTTCCTCTCCTCCGGTGCCCTCTTTCCAGATGCCCCCAACCCTAGCAATGGCCTCTTGCTTCCCAGACACTCATGTAAATGTTCCATCTACAGAAGAACCTCTTCAATCAACAGCCCCAGCACCACTGTGGGATGATCTTTAGAAGAAAAGTACTTTCATTATAGAAATTCACACCAAGCTCCAAATCACCAGGTTTAAGCCTCTTATAGGAGACACTAAACTCAAAAGGATATCAGAATTTAGGATGAAAGAGACATCTAAGGATGAGGGGAATATTCTGGAGCAAGGATCCTTTCAACAGGCAACCTGCAAATAAAGCTGCAGGGCCTGCCCAGAACAGAGATGGCTGCTTTGGAGGGAAAATACAAAAGGAGTATCATTTAAATATGGACTCGTTTTCCCTTCCTTGATTGTCCTATCAAAACTGCCTCTAAGCCAGCGACTGTCTACCGGTGTGCCGCATGAATTCTTAAAGCATGCCACACTGACTATTAGTCAGGGCACTGACCACTTTTCGCTTGTCAAATGCGGAAATGACAACGGCCAACACAATAGCCATGTGGTGTGAATGAATCAAAATCAGACCTATTTTTTGGTCAGACTGGGAAGAAAAGAAGGATTTTAGTAATTAGCTGAGGTGTGCCATGAGATGAAAAGGGTTGAAAATCGCCGCTCAAGGCAAATAATTAAGGGCTGTTTATTTGCCCCTCTTAGATAAACTCAGCCCCCCACCAAGCAAGCCCTGCCTCGCAGTTACGTTAAATTGAAGAGGTGGGCCTCACCGGGAGGAAATCCTGATACTGAATCCCCATTCAGGAGGAACCCCCATTGTTTCTGCTGTTCTCACCTCAAATATCTCGTGGTCCTGCCTCTGCACCTCAATGTGCTGGGAGTACGTGAGGCTGAGCAGCCCCTTGTTGGCCAGGAGCTCTATCTTCTCAGGCAGTGGTCCCTGGAAGGTCACCTTCTTCTCCCCATAAGCCACAGCTCGGGCCCCCAGGTGCAGCCGGTAGGCCACGGTCTGCTTATCTCGAGGGTGGATGCTGCAGGACAAAACACAAGTACTGAACTTTGGGTTTGAGCTCAATAATAACCAGATTTTTAAAAAATGTACTTTTAGCCGAAACCGGTTTGGCTCAGTGGATAGAGCGTCGGCCTTCGGACTGAAGGGTCCCAGGTTCGATTCCGGTCAAGGGCATGTGCCTTGGTTGCGGGCACATCCCCAGTGGGAGATGTGCAGGAGGCAGCTGATCGATGTTTCTCTCTCATTGATGTTTCTAACTCTCTCTCTCTCTCTCTCCCTTCCTCTCTGTGAAAAATCAATAAAATATATTTTTTAAAAAAATAAATTTAAAAAATGTACTTTTATTAATTTCAGAGAGGAAGGGAGAGGGAGAGAGAAACATCAATGAGAGAGAATCATCGATTGGCTGCCTCCTGCATGCCCCCTACTGGGGATCAAGCCCACAACCCAGGCATGTGCCCTTGACCGGGATTGAACCCGGGACCCCGAAGGCTGACACTCCATCCACTGAGCCAAACCAGCTAGGGCAATAACCAGGTTTTTTAAAAAGGAAATAATATACAAACACCCCCAGAAGGTGAGAATAAAGTTGGCTGAGTCTAATAGCCAGTGGCTGGTCAGCTTAAGAGAAATGGTGAGTGGTAATCACAGCTGGGGCTCTGGGCCGTCTATGGGCTGGAAACCTTGAATAATAGATGACTTGGAAGGAAGAAATAAAAGGAGGGAAAGAAGGAGGGAGGGAGGGAGGGAGAGAGGTAGGAAGGGAAGGGTGGAGAAAGCGAGGGAGGGAGGGAAGGTACTAGAACTAACCAAGGAGAGCTAACTCATAAGACTATTCCAAACAACAGAGCCTGTGTTTCATCTGAACCATCTATTCATTACTTGGTCCCCTCCAGGGTTTATCTGTTCATTCAATAATTATTCATTCATTATGGATTAGAAAACTGTGGTACATCTACACGATGGAATACTATGCTGCTGTAAAAAAGAAGGAACTCTTACCATTTGCAACAGCATGGATGGAACTGGAGAGCATTATGCTAAGTGAAATAAGCCAGTCAATGAAAGAAAAATACCACATGATCTCACTCATTCATGGATAATAGAGACCATTACAAACTTTTGAACAATAATAGATACAGAGGCAGAGCTGCCTCAAACTGATTGTCAAACTGCAGTGGGAAGGCCAGAGAGGGTTGGGGGGCAGAAGGGAGGGGAGTAAGAGATCAACCAAAGGACTTGTATGCATCCATATAACCATAACTAATGGACATAAGACACTGGGGGGTAAGGGAGGGCAGGGATTATCAAGGGCGGGGGGTGGGGGAAGGACACATATGTAATACCCTTTGCAATACTTATTATAATATTTTTTTTTAAAAAAGAATAAAAAAAAACAAAAAAACAAAACAAAAAAAAAGGTCCCAAACTAAAAAAAAAAATAAATAAATAAAAAAATAATTATTCATTCATTAAAAAATAAACAAATACTAGTTCAAGCTCCTAAGATAATCCAGACACTGTGCGTTGGGCTGCACTGAAACCCCCTTGTATCCTGTGCTAGCTAGCATGTGGTGGTCATCGGGACCACTCCCAAACACTCCACTGCTCCTCCTCTGAGGCCGTGGCAGAATCACGCTTCCCTCTCCCTGAAGCTGGGCATGGCCACGCGACTGCGGGTGGACAATTTAACGTGGGCAGCAGGGTCTTGTGTTGCTTCCAGGGAGAGCACTCAATTGCCAGTGTGGGACTTTAAGGTGACCGTGGAGGGACAGATCGACGCGGGGCCTCTGTTTCTCTGGATCTGTGGACGACCACGATGGCAAAGCCTCTCTGCTGACCTCTGGACATGGAGCGTGAACAAGAAATACATTTTTGTTGCATCAAAGCACTGAGATGTTGAGGGTTCTTTTTTTAATTATTACTACAGCACATCCCAGTGTAAATGACTCTAGAGCAGTGGTTCTCAACCTTCCTAATGCTGCAGCGACCCTTTAATACAGTTCCTCATGTTGTGGTGACCCCCAATTTCATTGTTACAAATTGAACATAATTAAAGCATAGTTGCCGAAACCGGTTTGGCTCAGTGGATAGAGCGTCGGCCTGCAGACTGAAGGGTCCCGGGTTCGATTCCGGTCAAGGGCATATACCTGGGTTGCGGGCACATCCCCAGTGGGAGATGTGCAGGAGGCAGCTGATCGATGTTTCTCTCTCATCGATGTTTCTAACTCTCTATCTCTCTCCCTTCCTCTCTGTAAAAAATCAATAAAATATATTTAAAAAAAAAAATTAAAGCATAGTGATTAATCACAAAAACAATATGTAATTATATATGTGTTTTCCGATGGTCTTAGGCGACCCCTGTGAAAGGGTCGTTCGACCCCCAAAGGGGTCGCGACCCACAGGTTGAGAACCGCTGCTCTAGAGACTGCTTCTAGGGTCCAATCCTGAGGCCATCTACTCTCTCTCCTCTCACAAGTGAACATCACAGTGAAGGCCACAGATAAGGAACGTATGATTATTCAAACAAAGCCCAAGAGGCACCCATACCTGCCGAAAGGCGAGGTCCTGTCACCGAGGTCCATAGCTACAGCCATGAAAGTGTTGGGCATCCTTTGGTTGGGGACATAGCCAACGTCTGCTGTTTGATGCCAACGGATCTGGGGAAATCGATCATCTGAGTCTTCATTAGACAAAACTGCAGACAACTGGGAAGCAGAGAGATGGCTGCGTCAGAATTTTATTGCAGCAGAATCCTACACCGGAGTCTTTTCGCAAGCAAACCCTGGTTCTGCTTCATTCATTTGTTCAGAAGTTCACTCAACAAGTATCTCCTGAGCTTCTCACTGTTGTGGCAGAATCCTTCATCCCACCTGCCACAGTGTAACTCGGCCACTGCTCTCACCACGATGCGGAGTCGATGTCTCCTCCCGTGGAATCTAGGCTACGTGTGTGATGTTCTCTGACCAATGGAATGCTCAGAAATGATGTTGGGCAGCTTTCAAGTTTTTGCCTCAGGAGCCCCTGCCTTCTGCTTTCATTCTCCTCGGACCCTGAGATGGCCGGTAAAAAAAAAAAAGTCTAGCTGCCCTGCTGGAGGAGTGATGTAGAGAGAGGGGCCTTGGACACTGGAAGATCATGAAGGAGATAGGCATTTTGCCCCAGCAATCCCAGCAGAGGGGCCAGTGATGTGGATTCTAGATCCTTACGTTCAAACTGCAGCCACAGAGCTCGCCCGCCGATGTCACATGGAGCAGAGGGGTGCCATCCCACTGAGACCGCCTGGCCAGCCCATGGAGGCCTGAGCGGAACCAATGGCTGATGTTTTAAGACACTGTGTTTTGGGGTCGTTTGTTGCAAAGCAGTAGGTGATGGACACACCTGCGTACAACATAGGGCTAGGCAGTGTTTGTAGGAAAGCAAAGAGGGACCTGTCTTTGAGCATGTGGACAAATTGCATCAAAGGTCCCAATTATTTTTTTAAAATATTTTTTATTTTTTTAGAGAGAGAAAGGGAGGAGGAGAGACAAAGAGAGAGAAACATCCATGTGAGAGAGGTACACTGATTGGTTGCACAACCCTGGCCCTTGTCAGGGTGTGCCTGCAACACTGGTACGTGCCCTTGATAGGAATCGAACCGTGGACCCTTCGGTCTGCAGGCTGATAGGCTATCCACTGAGCCAAACCAGCTAGGGCTAAGGTCCCAATTCTTTACACCTTCCTATATCCACACCCTCTTGTCATATGGCTCTATGGCTTCTCCTATTAAGAGGAAAAGTGCATTTCCCCACCACCTGATTCTGAGCTCAGCCACGTCGTTTGCTCTGGCCAATCGATGAAACAGAAGTTACGGTGTGTCCAGTCCTAGCCTCGCCTCAAGAGACCTAGCATGGGAGAACCAAGATGGCGGCATAGGTAAACACCGGAGACTGCTGCCGCAAACAACCACTTCAAAAATACAACTAAAAGACGGAACAGACATCACCCAGAACCACAGGAATGCTGGCTGAGGAGAGACTCTTCAACTAGAAGGAAAGAGAACAGCAAACCGAGGCTCAGAGGAGGCGCAGTGTGGAAAATACAAAGGTACCGAGGTGCGCGCGCAAAGCGGGCTGGTGGCTGAGGGCGCGGTTGTCGTTTTCAGTCAGGAGGGAGTCTCAGACTCTGGGCTCCAGATCCGGGCGAGTCTCTAGGGACCCAGACTCAAACGGGAGAAGCGGGATTGGCTGGCATCAGTTGGAACCTGAGGGCAGCTTTCTCTCCGAGGTTTGCAGCAGCTGCCGGGGTTCTGAGAAGCAGAGCCTCTGGGAACGGGACTGAGAGCGGCCATAACTGCTCCCTCCGCCCGCCCTGTTGGACCTGCCCCGCCCAAGCCCTGCACAGAGCCATTTGCCGGATCGCCTCAGGCAAAGGCTAGATTAGCACCTCCCCAGAGGACAGAAGTTTTCCACACAGCTGATTCTCACAGCCAGTCAGCCTGGTGGTCAAATCTCTCAGTATTAACTAAAAAAATCAAGGCTTAACTAGAACAAGACTGCGCACAAAGACCACAAGGGGGTGCACCAAGAAAGCATAAAAAATGCGGAGACAAAAAAACATGACAGAAATGGAGGATATGGAGCTAAAAAACGCAATTTTGAGGGCTTGCAATAAACTTGTGGAGAGCCTCACAAAAACTAATGAGACCCTCGATGCTACGATAAAGAAACTAGAAATTAAGCATACATGGACTGAAATAAAGAATATTATACCCAATAGCAGACCAGAGGAGCGCAAGAATCAAGCCAAAGATTTGAAATTCGAAGAAGCAAAAAACACCCAACCGGAAAAGCAAAATGAAAAAAGAATCTGAAAATACGAAGATAGTGTAAGGAGCCTCTGGGACAGCTTCAAGCGCACTAATATCAGAATTATTGGGGTGCCAGAAGATGAGAGACAGCAAGATATTGAAAACCTATTTGAAGAAATAATGGCAGAAAACTTCCCCCACCTGGTGAAAGAAATGGACTTACAGGTCCAAGAAGCGCAGAGAACCCCAAACAAAAGGAATCCAAAGAGTACCACACCAAGACACATCATAATTAAAATGCCAAGAGCAAAAGACAAAGAGAGAATCTTAAAAGCAGCAAGAGAAAGAGACTCAATTACCTACAAGGGAATACCCATACGACTGTCAGCTGATTTCTCAACAGAAACTTTGCAGGCCAGAAGGGAATGGCAAGAAATATTCAAAGTGCTGAATACCAAGAACCTACAACCAAGATTACTTTATCCAGCAAAGCTATCATTCAGAATTGAAGGTCAGATAAAGAGCTTCACAGATAAGGAAAAGCTAAAGGAGTTCATCACCACTAAACCAGTATTATACGAAATGCTGAAAGGTATCCTTTAAGAAGAGGAAGAAGAAAAAGGTAAAGATACAAATTGTGAACAACAAACATGCATCTATCAACAAGTGAATCTAAGAATCAAGTGAATAAATAATCTGATGTACAGAATGAACTGGTGATTATAATGAATCAGGGACATAGAAAGGGAATGGACAGACTATTCTTGGGGGGGAAAGGGGAATGGGAGATGCGGGAAGAGATTGGACAAAAATCGTGCACCTATGGATGAGGACAGTGGGTGGGGAGTGAGGGCGGAGGGTGGGGCGGGAACTGGGAGGAGGGGAGGTATTGGGGGGGGGGGAAGAGGAACAAATGTAATCTGAACAATAAAGATTTAATTAAAAAAAAAAAAAGAGACCTAGCATGGTTCCACTCACTCTTTTGCATCTCTGCCAGCGCCATGAGAATGGCATACCCGGGCTAGCCCGCTGCTCTCAAAAGGAGGCTGACGGCTGTGGGACAGAGCGGCCTCATCTCAGCCAACCAGCCAAGCCTGGCCTGCAGCAGAGCCCCCAGCAGACCCACCGAGACAGGAAAGTGCCCAGTGGGGCTCAGCCAACGTCAATCAACCCCCAGCCACTCCAGTACGTGAGCCATAATCATCAATGCTATTTTAAGTCATGGATTCTGTATGCATAGCTGAGTACACAGCATTTGCTTTCATCTAGATTAAAAGTGGATCGATTCCTATTCTTGCAAAGGGCAGAAGCTCCAGAAAAGTTACTACAATGCACGTGGTCCCGCTATTCCTTCCTTCTCTGATGCTTGTATCACCCTGTCCTCTGCTTTAGATAGAGCCTTATGCTTAGCCTTAGTTCCAGCCAACTCGAGGCATCCACCTCTTATCTCTCTTTATAAGCCATGACCTAACAGTAGGCCAAGCTGGACATTGGAAAACAGCCCGGGTGAGCAACCACATGGCCATTGTAAATGCCTGTCCCCATCAGAGGAGCTGCATTAGGAACAGACTGTTTCTCCCAGGCTCGTTACTCACATGGCCCAGGAAACTCCCGAGACCATCCCTACAGATGTGGCCGCACTCTGAATAGAGGGCATTTCCTGCCCCTGGAGTTGTTCCAGAAAGAGTAGGAGGTCATCAGGAAAACACTGGAGAGGCTGCAACCGTAGCAGAAGGGATATGGGATGAAGGGCATGGGGACAAAAAGGGGCCACATACTAACCCGGCCAGCTCAGGAAGGCCTGCATGGCGGCCTTACACACTCAGAGGCTTAGAGTAACCACACAGATGGTCTGAACATAAAACTTCCCAACTAAAAGCGCGTCACGGCGGGTAGTCCAGTCCCAGGCCTGTAGCTCCCTTGACAAAGGTCAGTCTTTACCTGAGGTGGGCCTGTCCACTGTCTTTCTGCATCTAAGATAACAGACCTTTGAAATGTCAGCGTAATCTCCTTGTCCAGACCCCTTACGGCACACCTACCGCACCAGGCAGGACACCACGGAACCCCTCACTGTCTCTTGTTCTCCACGTGCCGCCTCCATGTACACGTTAGTTAACTATCCTGCACCCACCCATGTAAAAGAAGCGTCTTTCCATTTTACTCTTTACCCAGTCCTAGAGCTTTCCCCGCTTTGCTTTCTCCCACCGCCTTATCCTGCCACTAACGAATTTCATGTAACTCCCTTCCATCTGCTTTGATTCCAATACAGTGGGGCCTTGACTTACGAGTTTAATTCGTTCCGTGACAGAGCTCGTAACTCAAATTACTTGTATGTCAAATCAAAAAGTGAACGAGTGAGCCGAAACCAGTTTGGCTCAGTGGATAGAGCGTCAGCCTGCGGACTGAAAGGTCCCAGGTTCGATTCCGGTCAAGGGCATGTACCTGGGTTGCGGGCACATCCCCGGTAGGAGATGTGCAGGAGGCGACTGATCGTTGTTTCTCTCTCATCGATGTTTCTAGCTCTCTATCTCTCTCCCTTCCTCTCTGTAAAAAATCAATAAAATATATATTTTTTTTTTAAAAGTGAACGAGTGAGACACGTGATGCTGGGCTGATGTTGTGGCTGAACATTTCTTATATGGACAGTATGATGTGGGATGTAGGTGATATTTCCAATTCTCTTATTAAAATCTCTTATGCAAATTGGCTTTAATCGATGAAATGATAAAAGGTAGTGGAGCTTCATAATAATGGAATGTCATGAAAACTAGAAAACTGGATTAAAAGATCCATGAGTCACCCCACTTCTTCCCACAAGACACCCAGAAGACTGAAGGTGGAACCATATTCACCCGTCAGTGCCGGGATGGGAATCGCGCTAACAAAGCTACCAGAAAGGTCTAGGGCAGCGGTTCTCAACCTGTGGGTCAAGAGCCCTTTGGCGGTCGAACGACCCTTTCACAGGTGTCGCCTAAGACCATCCTGCATATCAGATATTTACATTACGATTCATAACAGTAGCAACATTACAGAAAATAATTTTATGGCTTGGTCACAACATGAGGAACTGTATTTGAAGGGCCAGAAGGTTGAGAACCACTGCTCTAGGGTAAGTACCAGCGTGCCGCACAACAGGGAGAAATGCCAACAACAGTCACTCATGCCAAGGAAGTTTCTCAAAATGGCAGTTTTGCCGAGAATTCCTGCAGCAATTCTCCACTCCCATTTCATTGATTGCACTAGTACATACTGGCCACATGGGGGCACCAGCACACTCCACAACCAAATGGTTTTTCCTAAGGATACAGCGGGGTGCTGTTCAGCCTCCTATGGTGATTAGTAGAAATGCTGCTGCTTCTGAAGGCATGTAATAGCCAAAGAATAGAAAGGTGGCCACATCCAGAGGGCTTTACAAATAACATACTGCACTTTGCAGTCTGTTCCACTCCAAACCCCTTCTAAGAAAGCGTCACAGGGACTCCTGCCCCCACCATGCTTCAGGTCACCTCTCCATGAATAATCTCTGACACATGCGTCTGGCCCTGGTCTATCTACTGAGCTTGAGTCCTGCATCGCTAACTGTGCTCCAGTTCCTGCAACCATCACTTCAAACCCAGCATTCATCTTTTCTTACAGACCACTGTCCCTCCAGATTTTCTGGCCTCTCTCATTAATAAAAACAAACACTGCCCAGCCGGCGTGGCTCAGTGGTCGAGGCGTTGACCTATGAACCAGGAGGTCACGGTTCGATTCCTGGTCAGGGTATATGCCCCAGTTGCGGTCTCAATCCTCAGTGTGGGGTGTGCAGGAGGAAGCCAATCAATGATTCTCTCTCATCACTGATGTTTCTATCTCTCTCTCCCTCTTCCTTCCTCTCTGAAATCAATAAAAATAATAAACAAAAGCAAACACTAACTTTATCTGACATGTGCCAAGCTTTACATGGATTAACTCACTAACACTTAAAATAACAAAGAAGTTTGATATCTTGTTCAAAATCGCATAGCTAAAGAAGTGCCGGACCTGGGATCGGAATCCAGGCAGGCTGGCTTCCATCTGAAGGCAGCTGTGATCCGGTATCTCCCTTTGAAGGCAGACGTTGATAGTCTCGGTATTCCACATGTGACCAACATATTTTTGTTGATGACATCAAGCTAAGCCCAGAGGCTAAGGGGATTCAACTAAACTGGAAGGCCTCGGTGCCAGGACAAGGCCTCCGGTTCGTGCTGTTTCCAGCACCTCGCACAGTTCAGAGCACACTGCAAGCATTCAGCACACACTTCTGGGCTGAGCTGGCTGAAGTCACATTTAAATCAGCAAGTACACAGGCTAAGAGACCAAAAAAAGTACCTCAAAACCCAAATGTAGTTCCACCAACAGTAACTCAGAACTGTGACAGGAGTTGCTATTTTGATAATAATGAGCAGAATAATCTTGTTTCAAAGTCAAAATAAATGTAAGAAAGAAAATGATTGTAAAGTAGTTATAAGTGCAAAGAGTGTCTATAAAAATCTTTATCCAAAAAAAGTATGGTGAAGTAGGACGAGGTAGAGGAGATGGGTGGCTGGTGGGAAGGGAAACTGTGGCCATCCAGAGGCAGCTGTCGGGGAGTATTCTGTCCAGCTCAGATGTTAACGCCCATTCCCTCACTACGTCGTGAGTTGGATCTTGGTTTTAGAACATTTTACTTGTTTAATTTCCTGTGTTCCAGCAAAGTCAGAACTACCACCTTACTCAAACTTCGGTAAGTCACAGAGGCTTCCTAAGTGACACCCAGGGCGAGAGCTGCAGGGTAAGTAAAAGTTCGCTGGGAAAGTGTGGGAGAGAGAGATTATTTCAGGCAAAGAGCATGTGCCATGGGCTGGGAGTGAGAGAACGAGGTCCCTTCTAAGGAGTGGCAGGGATAACACCAAGTTAGGGAGGGTATGGGGAAGGGAACGTTCTCACACATCGTTGTGAAGGGTATACAGTCATACCCACTCATAAATGTCTACAGGGAACTCTGGGAACATGTTTAGAGCCTTAAAAAGTATTCAATTTAACCTAGCAGTTTCATTCCTGGGAATTTATCTTATGGAAAAAATTAAGCATGCGTGTGAGGATTTAGCTGCAAGGAACAGAAACATGCTGCTGCTTATAAAAGCAAAACATTTAAAGCAGCCTCAGTGCCCATTTATCAAGGCCCAGTTAAATAAATTATAATATAACCATCTTTCAGAGTACTCTGTAATCATTATAAATTGTGCCCAAGTCCTGACCGGTTTGGCTCAGTGGATAGAGCGTCGGCCTGCGGACCGAAGGGGCCCAGGTTCGATTCCAGTCAAGGGCATGTACCTTGGTTGCGGGCACATCCCCACTGGGGGGTGTGCAGGAGGCAGCTGATCGATGTTTCTCTCTCATTGATGTTTCTAACTCTCTATTCCTCTCCCTTCCTCTCGGTAAAAAAATCAATAAAATATGTATTTTTTTTAAAATGTGCCCAAGATTAGTATTTATTGGCTCAGTGGTTGAGCATTGACCTATGAACCAGGAGGTCATGGTTCGATTCCCAGTTGGGACATATGCCCAGGTTGCGGGCTTGATCCCCAGGGTGGGGTATGCGGGAGGCAGCTGATCGATGATTCTCTCTCATCAATGTCTCTCTCTCTCTCTCTCTCTCTCTCTCTCTCTCTCTTTCCCTCTCCCTTCCTCTCTGAAATCAATAAAAATATTTTTAAAATAAATAAATAGGTATAATAAATAAAATCTATTAGCATGAAAAATGTTCACAATATAACATTATGAGAAAGAAAAAGCAAGATATGGTACACTATTGTAGTATGGATCCTATTTCACAAATAATGAGCAGAAAAGTCTGCTTATTTCTGGATGGTGGAATTATAAATGTTTTTTAGCTTATCTTTTTCATATTTCTTTAATAAACATGCAGTACTTTTTTAATAGGAAGACATATTAGTTACTTCTTCACTTTTTAAAAGACTCACTTGTCCCCGCAGTGAACAGAGATGAATTAAGCCATACATTCAGTCCCTGACCAGCGGCTATGAGGGTGAAAGAAGAATATGGATTCCAGGAAGGAGATCTCAGTGGCACATCCCCACGGCAAGGTCCGTAGACCCTCCTCCCCTCCACACACACCTGCACAAATCCAAACGGGAAGAGGCGCTCCGTCTGCCCCTCAGAGCCGAGGTGGAAGGTCTGGCGCCAGTCCTCAATGAGCGCGGGGAACGTGCAGTTGTACAGGTCCCTGTTCAAATCGATGTTGGCCTCCCCTGGAAACAGTCCAAGTGGTGAGAGAAGTTTGGGGTAGAAGCAGAAATGGCCACACAATGCTCCCCAACCTCTAGCCCTGCCTTAGGAAGTGGGCCTCCCTGCAGTCTCTCTGGACTGGCCTTGCTCGGGCCGACAGGGGCATCAGCAAACATGATACAAGCAGGCTTGAAAAGTGCTTCAGTTTGGGGGTCTGCTCTCTCGATACACCTAGAACCCTGAAACTGCTATGTAAACAGTAAAAATAAGTCTGAGCTAGCTTGCTGAAGGGTGGGGGGCCACATTGAGAGCCACGGGGCCCCAGCTGGTAGACAGCTCCCAGCCAACACATGGGAGAGAGGCCAATCTAAGTCACTCGGCCATCAACCTGCCAGGTGGTCAAAGACACATAAAGATCCCAGCGGAAATTAGCCAAAGCAGCCCAGACAGAAAAACGACCCTGCTAGACCACAGAATAGGGAGCTAAATAACATTGCTTTTGTTGCAAGTCGCTAAATTCTAGGATGGTTTGTTATGCAGCCAGGCTAACTGACACGGTGGAGAAATAGCAAATCGAACACTCACCCTGGTACCATATCACGCCTTTCAGAGTCATATTATGTAGTGGATGGATCATGGCGTTCCAGAGAACAGAGTGTTTACTGGGGCCACTTATAGAAGCCGGTGAAGTGAACCTGAAATCGATAAGGCACACAAGTGTCAGGAGAGAGCTAGTGATCGATCACATTATGATCGCTCACGTGGGTGCCTCTCCAGCTTTTACTTGGGGCAAATTTCTGATGACAGCAACACAGGATTACATTGAACCGCTCTGCCTCACATGGACACGTGTGAACAGTCTCTGAATTTCACCTCCAGGTTCTTCCCAGGATAAGGGTATCAGTCAGTTTTCCACGGGTTCAACGTGGGCCACCCCAGTTTCCAGATCAGGTCATTAAAGCCACGAAGAGAAGTGTTTTATTACGAGTCTCACACACAAGGCAATAGGTCTGTTTGACTAGTCCTCCATGAATAGACACTTAGATCGTTTCAAGCTTTTTGCTTTTGTAAGCAACGCCACAATTCTCTTTCCTATAGCTTCCTCATTGCATGCAGACAAGTATTTCCTTAAGATCAACTCCCAGATCGGAAACGGCTGGGTGAACGGACACATTTTTTTTAAAAGGCTTTCAACGTGTTCCTGAGTTTCTCTGTAGAATGCCTGTAGGAATGTACACCCACTCCCCCACACCCTTGGAACTGTCCCTTCCATGTCCTCAGAGATCTGGGAGGCCTGGCTTCAGATGCCTCCTGCTTTACTGCAGGCAATTCCTTCTGCTCCAAAATGGAATGTCTTCACACAGGCACACCTTTACCCAAGCGAAACCAGGAGCTCAAGTCCACCCTCTTCCCAGAGGCCTTCCCAGGACTGATGAGACGATGTCTGTGAAGGCCGTCCACGTATCGTTCATCTCTACGTTAGCAGGACGATCAAAATTTTATTAGCCCGTCCTCTGACCCAAAGCCCGCACCACGTGTCCTTCCTGATCTAGCTTTCCCTCAGTGTGCTTTCCTAATCACTACACTACATATTTCTTTGATTGCACGTCTACTTGTTCTTCCTGTTACGGTGTTTATTCTGCTAAGCAATACAGCACAGTGGTTAAGAGCAGACGCTAAGGCCAGCCTTGCCACTTACGCGTGTGTCCATGAGCAAGTTACTAAAGCTCTCTCCGACTTAGTATCTTTTTTTTAAAATATTTTTTTTATTGATTTCAGAGAGGAAGGGAGAGGGAGAGAGAGATAGAAACATCAATGATGAGAATCATTGATCGGCTGCCTCCTGCACGCCCCACACTGGGGACGGAGCTCGCAACCCAGGCATATGCCCTGACCGGGAATCAAATGGTGACCTCCTGGTTCATAGCTCGACGCTCAACCACTGAGCCACGCCGGCTGGGCTCCGACTTGGTATCTTTTTCCACGCTATGTTAACAGTATCTACATTTCAAGAGATTGTTGTATTAAATGAGTTACTATATATAAACTACTTACAACATTTTTCAGCATAAAGCTTTCAGTAAGTATTAGCTCTAATTATTATTAAGAAAAAGACTCATAATTGCTTGTGCTGTTCTCAGATGGCTGTGGTGGTGGTGACAGTGAAAATAATACCTTGCCTGTGCACGGAACAAGTTAATACATATTTGGACACTCAGCACGTACTTCACCCCTCAAAGGAGACCGCGATTCTCCTCTTTTATCTAATTTCCTGGCAGGCTTTCTCCCAGACTGCGGGATGCTTTCTTACCCTTCCTTAGGGATCCCGCAGGCTTTCAGCGACCTTCCAGATGACCAGGCTTCAATGGGGGTCCCGCCCCATGAAGAGGAGATCAGCCCCACGGGATACTGCAGCGTGTCGTACAGGTTGCGCCCAAAGAGCCAGCACACGGCCGACATGTACTCGAAACTCCCATGGCCTAAGTTTTCTGTTCAGAAGAAGAGAGTCAGGTAAAGAGTAGAGGGATACAGATGGGTCTAGGTGAGAAGAAGGGGTGTGGTCCATCCCTTGTGTTCCTTGCTAAGAATTTCCAAAAGTAGGAGAAGATTGAGAGGCCATGATCTCATTTGCAGAGAACCAAAGCTCCCTGGCCAGGCGAGTGGACCCCCCCACCAACCCATGCTCCCCTCTCACCTACAGGTTCCTGAGAACCTCGGAATACGATTAGTCCTCCTCAACAGGTGAGGGCAGAAAGGCCATCAGGCCCCTCAACCACCTTCTCTTCACCTCTACCTTTCCCTCGCCATTCGTCCCCACTTAGCTCCGTGGAAAGAAATGAGCAAGCAGGGAGCATGTCGGGAAGAAATGTGTCTTTTTTCTACCCCATTTTATAGCTAATGGTCATGAAGACATGGGCAGCAGATAAGGGATGCAACATCTGGCTAAAAGAGAAAGCAACAAAAACCAAAACTGGTGCTTAAATGTTCAGCATAGAAAGCTCAGGTGTCCATACAGCCCAGTCACTAACACACACGGGAGCGGGCAATCCCATGTGGGAAGAAAGCTGATGAAGAGGGGAACGGGCACACACACACTCACCTGACAGGGTCATTCAACCCAGAATTTCCTAAGGAACTGCTATGTCTAAGGCACTGGCTTGGCACCACTCAAGATCCCACTTCAATCCAGTTCTGGCACTCAAACAGCTGAGAGTGTCATAGTGGGGATTCAAGTCAATTAAAATTGACGGAGCACCTACTAGGTGCCAGGCACGTCCAGATGGTGGGAGTACAGTAAGTAACAAGAAAAGGATCTCTCCTCATAGGTCTTATATTCTACAAAATAAGACATCTATTCAGCTGAGTAAAATATAGGACAAAATATGGTTAAGTGCCTCCAGAGGTACTAACGTGTATTAAGGGGTTTTAAAAAGAATGAATATAAAATGAAAGGCAGATCATAAAAATCCTAATAAAGACTGGCCTCCCCCGGCGCTTCCACAATACTCTACCAGTGGTTCTCAACCTTCCTAATGCCACGACCCTTTCGTACAGTTCCTCATGTTGTGGTGACCCCCAACCATAAAATTATTTTCGTTGCTACTTCATAACTGTAATTTTGCTACTGTTATGGATCGTCATGTAAATATCTGATATGCAGGATGTATTTTCATTGTTCGCGACCCACAGGTTGAGAACCGCTGCATGCATAGTGTTTCCCTGACCCTACTGAACTATTCGCTTAATTCACCCTATTCAGTGTCTGGACCTACCAGAGAGTCAGTAGATGTTTGTGGGCTGGTGTTGGGTGGTTGTGGGTGGCTGGTATGAAGCTGGTTTCATTGATGAGCAGGTAGAGAGAAAAGGTAATGAAGAGGAGCAGGGAGAGCCCTGGCCAGGGTGGTTCAGTTGGTTGAGTGGTATCCCATGTACCAAAAGGTCACTGGTTTGATTCCCGGTCAGGGCACATGCCCGGATTGCAGGTTCCACCTCCGATTAGGGTGTGTATGGAGGCGATCAATCGATATTTCTATCTCACAGATTATTCTCTCTTTCCCTTTCCCTTCCTCTCTCCCTAAAATCAATAAAAACATATTTTTTTAAAAAAAGAGGGAGAGAGGTGGGAAGTCTGGAAGGATAGACAGAAGTTGAATAAGCAGAGCTGGCATTCTAGGCAAAAAAGACAATATATTAAAAGGCACAGGAAAATGTTTAAAGTGTTGGACTGGAGCATAGATTATAAAAGGAAGCTAAGAGTGGGGGGAGGGGAGTAAAGAAGATGGAAAGCCCCTTGAGAATGAGATTGTGTGTAGGCAGAGCAGCCCCCCAAAAATGTCCACACCCTAATGGTTATAACCTGTGGCTATACCTTTCGTGGCTAAAGGGCTTTTGTGAATGTGATTGGGGTTAAGGACCTGGAGATGGAAGAGGGTCCTGGATTATCCAGGTGGGTCCAAGCTAATTACGTGAGTCCTCAGCGTCAGGAAGCCTTCCCAGCGGCAAGCAGAGAGATGTGACCACAGCAGAGGCAGGAGAGACACGAAGTGTGAGGAGGACTTGGCCTATGTGCTCCTCCCCAGATATCTCACTGCCTCACCTCCGTCAGGGTGTCACTGAAATGCTGCCTTTCTCACTAGGAATTCCACGGCCGCTCTAAACTGGAAACCACTACCTATCACAGACCCCAAGAGTCTGAACTGACTGCCTTCCCTGATGTATTTATTTAGTGTCATTAGCACGCATCACCCTCTAATGGTTAGAGTCTAACCCCGTGGTCGGCAAACTGCGGCTCGCGAGCCACATGCGGCTCTTTGGCCCCTTGCGTGTGGCTCTTCCACAAAATACCATGTGCGGGCGCACGTACAGTGCGATTGAAACTTTGTGGCCCATGCGCAGAAGTCGGTTTTCGGCCTGGGCAAGTCTATTTTGAAGAAGTACTGTTGATATTTGGCTCTGTTGACTAATGAGTTTGCTGACCACTGGTCTAACCTATCCCTCGATATCCCAAATGTATCTGGTGTCCGAGTTCAGAGAGTGAAAGGGGGGTGACAGCAAGGTATGCACCCCTTACCCAAATCTAAGTGATTCCTGAGTTTTGGATAACATGTGGTGAGAGTTCACAGACCAAAACATTCCTCCCAAATTGACCAAAATCAATTTAGTTCCTAAGTTCTTATAGGGAGAGCTCAGATAGTGTGATACGGAGTAACATCAGGTACTTCCCAGAAAGTTTACTGATTTTATTATTCATTTTCTACATCCCCCTGCTCTAGAATACCAGCTCCATGAGACCAGCTGTTTTTGCCTGTTTTATTCACTGCTATACCCCCAGCACCGAGGCCAGCGCCTAGCACATAGTGGGCACTCAAATAGCTGGTGAGTTAATTAATACTTGAATATGTAGGAGTCATTGAGGTTCCCGAGGTAAAGCATGGACAGACAAAACAGAACAGGGACTAGAGAGCTCACCAGGGGCCACACGGAGGAAGGAACTGGAGAAAGCAGAGACCTCGGGCGGGAAGACGAGGGAAAGGACGTACCACGCCAGCTAACAGGAATGTGCGGCTCCCAAAGGGGGCGGTCGGCAGGGTCGAAGGCTTAGAGGGATCCAGAAGGTATCGTGAGAAGGACAGGAGTCATTTTGAGGTGAATGAGTTGCTGAGATGGAAGCAGAAGACAGACAATAAAGGGCTAAAGGAAAGGCAGTGAGAAGAATGAGAAAAAGAAGATGTCCTAGAAAGTTTTAACAAAGCAGAGGGGAGAGCGGAGGCACTGTGTGAAGGGTGTCTGTTATGTTCCGTTTGGCTGTTTCGTTATAAAGGAAAGCTAAACTCTGAGAGTAGGGACTGCGTCTGCCTTGCTCACTGCTCTTCCCTTGAGGCCGCACAGAGAGCCACTGGGAGTGGGCGGGGAATAAAGATTTCCTGCTGGACGCACAGACCAGAGCCGGATGGGCGGGAGAAGGCCCCAGAGGAAGTGAGAGCCCGCATCAGGGGCAGCCATGAGAGGACCCCAGTCAGCTGTGTTCTGACACGGAAACACAGGAAGAAAGAGGAGGACAGAGCATTGAGGCACGGAGGAGGGGTGCTCGAGGGGTCACCCGGAGCGGTGTCGGGGTGCTCAGTGAGGCTGAAGGTGGAGGCACTGCTCACAGCAAGGAAGACGACTCGGCAGTGGAGTCTTGGGAATAAACGTATGGAATGGCTACCATCAGGAATAGGGTGAAGAGTCGATAAGAAATGAAAAAAGGCCTGGCTGGAGTGGCTCAGTGGTTGAGTGTCGACCATGAACCAGGAGGTCGCGGTTCAATTCCTGGTCAGGGCACATGCCTGGGTTGTGGGTTCAATCCCTAGTAGGGGGGCATGCAAGAGGCGACCAATCAATGATTCTTCTTATCAC